TTCGACATTGGTGTGGCGAGGCCCTAAGTTAGGTTGAAAACTCTTAACAAGCCCAATGCACTGATAGATATAAGTTCCTAGTAGTAGTACCTTCCTACTGTAACCACTTATCCAAAGCTCTAACACTTGGCAGAGCAGGGATCGAAATAACGGGAAGTGGAGCAGGAAGGTGAAATTCAATGCATTTTTTTCCTGTTCCAAAAAGAAGACTAGAGCGGTGAAGGTAACAAGAAGGTGATGGAAGCAGGCTTTGCCAGCTGGATTCATTCACGATACCGTTCCCAACACCAAAACTTGGTGCCCTCACATGTCTGGACTTATCCTAACACTAGCTTCAGAGCGAGAGACTTTTCCTCACAGAGACAGGTTTTACTTCCAAAAGTGGCAACTCTTGTTTCCACTTCCAAAAATGGTGAGCCCTGTTTCCACTTTAAGTTATGCTTGCATTCAGCCAGCCTCCCATTCCGCACAGTGTCTGCGAAGTACAAACCTTTACCCCACTCAATTCCTCACATCCACCGGTACGCTTCCTTTCCAAGTATAAATAATGGACTTTGCCACGGACAACAGCATGCTCTTAGAGTCATTCGCTCATTGTGTGTGCCATCCTGTGTGGAGTGTCATCCGCTGCGTCAATTCTCCGGCTTTTGGGAGATTCCCCCATACAGGTGGTGGCAGACGGGGCTGGGGACCATCACTAACTGAACGGTCTGTCTCTTATCCTTCTTGAAACGTGTCTTGCGCATCACGGTGACCTCGTTGCCTTGGGAGAGAAGGAGGAGGAGAAGGCCTCGTCGTCCTTGCCCTGGGAGAACTTCAGGCTGCATCTTGCATGCATGCTTTGCTGAGTGTGCCCCTCTGCGAGTGTATGTTTGCGTGTGTCAGCACCGAGCCGCCTTCTCTTCTTCACACAAAAGCTATCATGGCAACTACTGTGCAAGTGAAGCCTGGCAGCATCAGCTCTGGTGTGCCTCTCTGCACGAGGGCTTCTCGTCAGACACCATCGCCCACCATGAACACCAGACCACTTAGAACTCGTGTGACTTTTGCGTTGGAATCCAAGTGTCTGCTGGCCATTAGAGGATCACGCAGGCATGTGAGTGTCACGAGTGTAATGCCTCCCAAATCCGTTGCCGCACTCCCAATGACAGAGTGGTGTGCGGCATCTGCAAGGCCGACCAGGAGGGGCTGGCAAACCGCTCCTGGACCACTTCATTTTGCTGGCTCATCTGGCCTGTACGCTCCCAAGTGCAGCAGCACTCACTCCGACACTGCTGCAGCTGACAGCGGCCATGACATACAGAGCGACCTGTACCAAGGGATCAGGAGAGAATTGACTGCTGAGTTTGGGACGGAACATTTAGTTTTCCAGGTTCAAGAAGAGATGACGGAGGGGATTCAAGTCTTCAAGCAAGACAAAGTTGCAGAAGAACAAGCAGCCCCACAAGAACAAGAGGGTGACATTTCGTTGGACTTCCGAACGGCATCAGCAGCGAGTTCAACAACTGCCGTGCTCCCAACCACGATCCCGTTCACAGACAAAAATCCTTATCCAGCCTCCATGGACAGCACGAGGTTCTCCATGGCAGGCAAAGCTCAAGGCTACGGCAGCAAGGCCACAGGAGGAAAGGGCGGAG